CTACGTTTAATTTTATTGGATTTATTTTTCTCACTAATAAAAGGAATCTATAACACATGTGCAATACATACACAAGTAAACCGACAAGCAAGCTTAGCACGCATATTATTTGCAGGATTTTTTGGAATTTTTTCATCATCAATAAACAAAACCCTCTTAGACGCACAAATCAAAGAATACAATACAAGACTATCAAAAATCCCGAACACATACGACGAATCAAACAATAATACAAATCAAATGCAATACCCTCAGCAGCACACTTACCAAACCCCCATCATAACCATCCATTATCATTAGTCTCACGAAATTTTAGGAACATAGCAATCACAAACCCCCCAAATTTAAGACCAAGTCACGTACAAAGCCCCATTCAACATTTAGTGACACAACACCCCCAAAGTGACGATACATATGAACAAATTTTCGAACAGCCCCATACCACCTTCTTTCAGTCTCAAAATAATCTTTTTTTCAGCCCACGATGAGCAGACAAATTGGATCACTCCACCAATCAAACTCCCACCCTGCCAACCTCCAAATTCCTATACATATTATCCCACTTTTTGCTTTCCCGCCACCTGATTCAGCATAAACTAATACATCATCAGGCATGAATTCTGATACTAACTCAGATTTAACAGTTTTTCAAACTATATCACAATTTAATAACTCCGATATAGAAACTCCCGATGAATTTGCAGACTCCGAACCATCCCCTTCTACTCACACCCATACCACCTCCTCAATCTTCTCAAAAACCCCATTTCAACCTATTCAACAGCAAAACCAATGTACATCTCCCTATATCCTTCTCAAGTAACCCCAACCTACTCCCTTTTTCATTACGAACGATCCATTAACAATTCCCCAGATAATTTTTAAATTTCTAATAAATTAGACAATTTTATAACATTACAACAACAGTTACTATCCCCCCACACCCTCACTTTTCACCAATTATCATCAACAATAACATCATCAAATCCACCAACACCTATACCAACTTCAGATTATGCTCCATCATTAGCTCATTCATCCACTTCAACAGAATCATCCAATAGTACTAACCGTGCTTATAGAACTTTAAAACGTAAATTCCCAAATCACCCATTTCCATCCAAACCCCGAACCGCCCGAGAATATATCAACCGTCCAGACTACACCAATACTACGAATTTTCTTCAAATAACCCTATCTTTATTTCCCCCAATAAACAATCAATCCGACTCTAACCCTGAACCACGTCACTTTGTAGATGAACATGTATTAATACCCACACTTCATTGGACAGCTTATTATAATTTCACTAGCCCCCTTACGCTACCACTCTATAACACCACTATAGATATTGAAAAAAATAAGGATGAATTATTCAGATTAACCACAGCACTCACCCCCCGATAATTTACATACGTAGGATAAAAGAAATTACTAAAAACATTCACTGCACCCCGAGCTAACGACTTTTCGATTGAATATTATGATCATAACATCATTAGATCTAATCAAGACCAGTTTCTTGACGACGATCAGTTTGCTAACCCACAACTCACCTAGAAAATTTTCTTAAAAAACAACTTACTTTTTCACACTTAACATCTTAGATAAAAAGCATGATCACATTATTTCAGAAGCATTATCAGATATTCAAGCATTCGAATCATTTCACGAAATTTTTCAAATATTTTCATTAACCTTTCATTTTCTCACACTAAAAGAACGTTTTTTGCACTGTTCACACGACATCATGTTACGAACTAAGCAAACGCACACCTACACTTATTATCGATTTATCCAAAATCTTTTTCAATTACACACATCATCGCGACAACCTCACCACAGATTTCAGTTTATCAATTCTAAATACACATCACCATTTTTCCTAAACTTCACGTATTTTTATAAAAATACTAACCTTCAAGACATCCTCCGGAATTACGACCCGATCACCCAGATGTATATATTTTGTCCCCTCACCAAGACTTTCAACGATGAAGAAGCCCGTCCCCTAGTAGTCCCGTATGAATATATTCAACCTATAGAAGTACCCATTTTAGAATTCATCCACAACACTATATACAATCATAAAATTTACAATCTACTCCAGAACACATCTCATGAACTTGCAGTAGGCACCGAAGAACTAAAAACCATCAAAGCACTTCAATTGCTTTGGTCACTGCCGCAAACTAAAAAAATCATACGCATACTAGCAAAATTACTAACTACAGCAGACGCTATTCATGATGTCTTCCCTCACGGTTTTTTCCCCGACGACTAAATGTAAGTATGAATTTAATATTTTGAAACTAACAAATTTAAACTAAACACTAACCGTTCTTTATAATTAGTTTACATTTTCTTTAGTCTTCACCTATGATCACCTACAACAAGAAGTAAAAACAAATGAAAATACGGACTCTTTCTTCAGAATAAACTCTATTAAACCTGTAGCACTAAATGATGCAGTAAAAATCAATTCGAAAGCAATAAATTCATCTATAAATTTTTTCCCTAAATGTAGTAAAGTTCAATACGATGATAATCAATTTTTAATTTTCAATCCCCACAAAGCAGTAAAATTTGAAATTAAAGAAGTAAATTTATACAAAGAAATGCAGTACTAACCTTTTATATATCTTCTGTTTACCCGCAAAAGAATTCTTTCCACAATCAGACAGTTCGCCCACGAAGAATTGTTTAAAATAATGAATTTTAAGTTTTAAGTTTGCACTAACAACGACTCAAACAAGCAATAACAAGTTTCCAACTTTCCTTTTACCCGTTTGGAATGGAATTATATAATAACCAAACTAACCAATGCAGCTAAACTAAACAGCATAAACCACAAACTAACAGCATGACTAAGAGAAGAACACCTACGGTACCCAAACCGGATTAAACCAGCTTAAAACTGGATAATTTATTCTTTTGAAGACTATTACCAAGTCCAAAAAAGAAATAACAAAACACCAAAAAGTCGCAAGACAAACCCAAACAAAAAACAATTTGATTTTTGAGAAAAGGACACAACCAAAGTAACAAAAGAAAAACTAGAAATAGTATAACAAAAACGTTAGCACAAAACAGGACCCCTTAAAACACCAGCATGAAATCATACACCCACTCCTGGCCTAACCCACCAGAGAGGACGCCCTGAGCATGCTCTATAGCCGGCCTAACCCACCGTGCTACATCCACGCTTTGTGACCACATCATATTTTTGACAAGAGGTACTCAAGGGTGAGTAACTCTTAAAAATAACTGAACTAAAACTAAAACGCTTTTGCGAATACAATTAACCAAAATCATAAGTAAAAAATAGAATTAACAAAACTTTATAAAATGTAAATTATAATATGTGATACTCGATCAGTCCTCCACCCAAGCAGAACAAACAATCATAGCAAACCATTTTGAAATCAGATTGATTTCACCGGCGGTCGCAGTCATCGTCGAACAAACAACTAACAAGTTCAGATCGACAATTCTAGCTTCCCGGAGCTTTCTTCTCCAAAAACAAAACAAGAAATGATGCTCGCCAAATGCAAACGACCATCATTACAGATAGAAGATGAAAGATTCAAAACTCTGTAAACCCCGGATGGGTGGAACCAGATCTAAACTATACTTTATTATTGGTTATAAATTGAATAATTTATCACTATAAAATATTTAATATTAACCAATCATGATCCATTTAACTAACAACCCACTTATTTGTAAGTGCTGAAATTATTAGTAATTTTAGCACCAGAGAGATTTGAATTTAACTTAGAAATTAGTTACCTCTCCAAGAGATCTTCTAGCAATCGCAATAAGCCAGTACACTCTAGATCTATTGAGCCTAGCAGAGACTAGTTAAACATCTTGAGACTAGCAGATATAAGAGTAAGATTAGGATCGGTATTAGACTAAGAAGTTGCACGAATCTATCCGGCCGAAAATAAGATAACGTGACGAGCAGACGGTGTACCCTATCCGAAATTACTCTATGAGTTAAACCTCGGTTATAACTCAAAAATATTGCTTTTACTGATTAGCTTATAGCGTTTTACTTTCAGAGTAGTTCGCGAAGACTATTAGTGCTAAAATTATGACTGCTTGCACTAAATACTCCAAAATTGGGGCTAGTTGCGACCGAAGCACGAAGTTTTCAAACATTGTTCACAACCACAGAAACCCTATCCAAACTTTATGTTTTTTTTTGGTCGTTGGGTGATATTTGGTGCAGTTAATAAAGTCTGAATATAAGTATGAGTCAAAACCATTGAACAAATTTTTGCAATTCACTTTTTTAAAAAAGTTTGCGCAGAACAAAAGAGCTGAAAGTCCTGAATGCACCGACTGCACTCTAAGTCCAATTAAAACTTTCGGTTGACAAGTAGATAAAATAATCGAAAAGACCTTATCGAAAAAAGACTATAAGCAGACGATTTTTGTTAATTAAATTAGAGCCCCGGACAACAATAACATGCAGATGGCATAAAAGTTTTCTGTCAAAAACGTTTAATTAAATAGTCGAAAATTGAATGAATAAGAAATTGCTCCAAGCATAAATAATCCACGATTTTTTCTTCTATAAACCGAATTAGACTTACGCAACCAGAGCCAAGTGAAAATGACGTAGCCATGAGTTGACTCATGAAACTCGCTTCCATAATTATCCAAAAACTTCCTTTTTAAACTGCTGCGTAGTTGATAGAGTTATAATGTATTTTGAACAAATTTCTATGAGGATTTTTTTTGCTTAAGCTTCCGATTAGCCGCATATCGGGTTTTATAAGATCATTCATAATCAAGAAGAGCGTATTTCAAAATTTTGTAGTAATTTCAAATTGCGAGAAAAGGTTATCGTTCGTTTTGCAAAAAATAATACAAAAACAAGATCAGATAATCAAGCACTAGAAAAAGCAGACAACAAAAAATTTTTCCTCATTATTTTTTAGAGCTACACTTTACGAGCACTAATCAAATAAACAGAAATCAAATTTTAGGAGATATCACAGTGGTGGAAGTGGGAGATCCGGTCGATGGAATTGCCCGTCACGTGGGCTACCACCGTGTGAAGAAAACAATTCCACACTTCAAGTGAGTTCTACCATTGTTCAACAAAGTTTCATCTTGAGAAACAAACGTTGATTGGAACAAAAGGTTTCAAATCCAAAACAAAATTGAGATCTGCGTTTTTTTCCTTTTTTAAAAAAATATTTTTGGTGCTTTCATTGAGTGGATAGCATCTACGGCAGTGTGGTTTTTTGCACGAGTTTGAATCAAACAAGAGCTGTCGAGAGTGGTATGATAAGCCCTCGAATCTTGTGTCGGCTTCAAAACACCAAAAAATTGCTTGTTCTCTAAAAAACAGGTTGTCTGTTTTTGCTATTGAATTTTCAAAGTCCGTCTCCATAAAAAACATATGTTTATAATCAATCACAAATGGATAACTAGACTGATCGTATCAGTGCGAAGCCCTGAATTTTCCCGCAGCCTTTTAAAGTTTATGGAGCAGTAATAACATTTAAAAAAATTTTTAAAAATTTTGAGATTTTTTGTGAAAATCATCCTCCAATACGCCATATAAAGTATAAAAGGATAAATTTTGCTCCTTGTAACAAATCAATTATGGCAAATAAGCTTCTTTCAACCAATTTGGAACAATTTTAAGACGGATTAAATCTCCGCTTACATGTTAATAGCGCGAAATATATCGCGCGTTAAATTAGCAATATTTTGCAAAATTTACGAATAATGATCAGAGGTGAAATATGTTTCCAAATTTAAGCTCAGGACATCAAAACCTTTTGAATGATATTTAAAAATCCCATCAAAAATGGCTAGTTAAGGAGTTGAAATTTGTCAGAAGAAAAAAACCCACCCCGAGCACAAACATTCCGTTACTATTGTTACGAAAGCCGGAACAAAAATGTTACTATTTTCTACGCAACAAAATCCAATTAATCGATGTGTATGCATTATGATCTTTTTCAAGTTTGTCTGAGAGCTTCAACCGCAGTTCATTATCTCCAATAATGACAGTTGTTTTTACTTAACACACTCTCCATCGAACAAAAAGATTTTTTCGGCTTCAAAATAATTTTTGTTCCGACTTTCGTAACGAAAATAACGGAATATTTGTGCTCGGGGTGGTTTTTTTTTCTTCAGACAAATTTCGACTTTTTATTTATCCATTTTTGACAAAAACTTGTGATATCATTCAAAAAGTAGTTTAGTCTAAATTCGAAAAAAAAGACTTTACCTGGAATTATTTTTCGCAAGGTTATGGGGGTTTAAAGATCGCAATTTTTGCCATTTTGGGACAAAAAACGCGCGATATATTTTGCGCTAATAACGCGTAAGCGGACATTTAATCCGTCTTAGAAATCGTTTCAAATTGTTTGAAAGAAGCTTATTTGCCATAATTGATTCGTTACTAGTAGCGAAACTTATCACTTTAAAATTTATATGGCGTGCGGGTGATGATTTAAAAACAATCTCAAAATTAATTTTATTTTATTTTCTTTTGTTTGATTTTATAATATTTATTTTTTCATGTTGATTTTTGGTCCATAGACCTTAAAAGGCAGTCGGAGCAATCAAGGTTTCGCCCTGATACAAGCAGTCTTGTCTTGTTTTCAATTTTTCTGATTAGAGTTGTTTCGCTTAAATACTTTAGTTTCTTTTTCCTCCTTACCTCTACTAGCACTCTCTATTCACGTCACTTTTTGTTCATTCCACATTCTAATTTCCACATTTTAAACCCATTTCTAGCCCAACTGTGAATTGTAAGCTGATTCCGCAAAAAGAACGCGATCTTTGTTCTTCTTTTTTCTTTCGGTTTTTTTGATCGTTCCGACAAAATCTTAACTTGTAGATTCCAGAGACCTACACACACCAAATTGTTGGCCTAATCAGTGCACTTTGTGGGATTTTAGTGTTTTTTGTCATTTCTTGAAAAAAACTTTTAAAAATTTCAAAGATACATCTTTGAAAATTTGATGAACAAATTCTCTTTGAAAATCCGAACTGCGACCATGAATTAGCCTAGAAAAGGTTATATTTTTTGTTTACTGCCATCACGTTTATCTTTTTCATTGCTGGCATTTTTCAGTTAATTGATGGTAGTAAGGCTTCATTTTTTGCACATACATTCTGTTTCATCAAATTTTACATCTTTTATAAACTCCAAATTTTCTGAGAAAAAGTATTTGTCGAAATAAAATTTTTTTTTTGAAGATTCTTCAAGCTTTGAGAAAAATGGCAAGGGTTTTTTGGGTTTTTTAAATGAAAATTCTTGTTCTTTTTGAGCCAAGTCTTAAGTCGACTTTGTGGGGACTCTATGGAGACAAAATTAGATTTTTTTGCGATTATAAGACAAAAAAGTTTTCTTGAGAGTGTTTGTAGAAAAAGTTTTTTTTTAGATTAAATGGAGATAAAAATAGATTCCCGTGGAATTATAATGCGATATAATCAAATTGAATACAATCCATTTTTTCGCTATTGTAATAGAGATTGTTGCCTAAATTGGAAACCCATTATCAATTATAATAGCAACCTTTTCGGCAAACGTTCTCTACATAATTTCTTAATCATTGCAAGCTTAACGCAAAACGGACTTTGCTTTGGCAGGCAGGATAGCCTTTCATAAATCCTCTGCGAATAGTAAAAAGAATAATTATCGATGCCAAAGTTCATCGCCATTTTTAAATTTCAATCTGATTAATCTACATTAAGTTGAGATCCAGCTTTTAAGTTGAACTCAGGTTGATCTCATTTTAGACCATACAATGAAGTTTTTTTTTCGAATTTCTTATTGTTCTTTTTGTAGCTTTGATGACATCACTCTAACTAGCAATATTGCCCTTCTACTTCTGTATAAACCAATGACCCACCTCGCACCATACACTCTACCCCTCTGTAAAAACCCAGTCGATATTGGCAGCGGATTGGGTGCTTGTGGAATGGGTAAAACATCTCCTCTGGTTAAAACAAAGCTCAACCTACCCTCCAAACTACAGGAATCTGCCAATCTCTTTCCCATTACAAACCCTCCTAGTCTAGGCTGGCATGATCTGCCAAAGTATTTACTTTTTTTTATTGTTCCGACTTTCGATACGAAAGTAAGGGAATATTTGTGCTCGGGGTGGGTTTTTTTTCAGACAAAATTCGACTTTTTAACTAGCCATTTTTGACGGAATTTATATCATTCGAAAGGTATTGTTGTCTTGAGCTCAAATTTGAAAAGATATTTCACCTGTGATCATTTTTCTTAAAGTTATGGGGGTTTAAAGATTGCTATTTTGGCCAATTTGGGACAATTAACGCGCGATATATTTCGCGCTATTAACGCGTAAGCGGAGAGTTAATCCGTCTTAAAATCGTTCCAAATTGGTTAAAAGAAGCTTATTTGCCATAATTGATTGGTTACAATGAGCTAAATCTATCTTTTTGTACTTTAAATGGCGTGTGGGAGGATGATTTTCATAAAAAATTTCAAATTTTAGAAAAAAAATTTTTTTCATTTTATTTTATTTCATTGAATTTTTAAATGTTATTACTGCTCCATAAACCTTAAAAGGCAGTCGGAACATTCAGGGCCTCGCCCTGATACGAGCAGTCTTGTTTTTTTGAAGTTCTTTTGCAGAGTTAGTTATAAATTCACAAAAAAAAACAAACCGTATTAGGTTTGATATGTCTTTTGCTGAAATTTAAGTGTTTTGATATGATAGAATAACTCAGTCCGTGGATAATAGCCTTTGATAACTCCTCTGAGGAGGGCAGAAACCAAATTAAAATTGAGTTATATTAGAAAAAAATTTATTAGCAAAAATTTCCTCTATTGAACCGCAAAAATTCATCCTAGAGAAATTTACGACCAGTTTTAAATAATTTATTGAGGGCCCTACGGAGGCCTAAATAATTCATTGATGGGAAAGTGTATTCACAACAGGAAACAGTGTTTTACGAGACTATCTCCAAACCCGGCTCGACCTCCCAAGGGTTCGCACTCTGTCACGAGACCCAAATCTGCACCCAGACCCTAATAGACGGGGTCAGCATTTGCACTCTAGATTATGGGGGACCTCTTTATGCTTTCGAGTGCGGGAGTCTCGCACCTGAATGTCTATATGGGATCTCAAGTCACGCAGCGACAAAACGAGACAAATCGGTAGCCGAACAAACCGGTAATTGCGTCTACCGAAGTTAAGCTTAGCAAAACCTGGATCTACTTAATAATTAGTTAGCACCTCTTACAAGGGGGGGGGGGGGGGGTAATTGTGAAGTAGTTTAAGTGACTAAGTAGTTGAAAAAGTTTAAGTGATTTAAGAAGTTAAGACGGGGGCAAAACGGCTGCAAAAAGATGGTTAATGGTATACTTTGCGCGATTTTTACGGAAAAAACGTATAAAAGTATTGCCTATTGTCGATTTCAGTTTCTGTAATGATTTTATACCAACACTTTAGATGCTTTAGCAAATCAACGCAGGTTTTTTCAATCTACAAATTTCGGTTCAATCAATTTATCATATCAATTTATCGTCAAAAATAGGCGAAGACATGAGCCGACAGTGGGATAGTTACGACAGTGACTACGACGATGACCAACCACAGTTTGTACGAATGAGTAAGGAAATAGAGGGATATGAATGTAATGACGGCAGCTATTTTGTCAGAGTCCCATTTTTCTACAACTGGATCAAATACACAGTCATATCCCACGAGTGAAGTTTACTTCACTGAAATTAACTTCCTCTTTAAATGGCTTTTTTTCAAGTTTCCCACGTCCCCACCCTCGAAAAACTAATAGAAATTATATATTTTCCATATGATTCAAGATAATTTGTAACAATTTGCTTACTTGACACGCTTTAAACGTGTCATTTTTTCATTCTGACACGTTTTATTGCATTTTAGAACATCAAAGTTATTTTAAAGAGGCGTTCGTAAGTCAAATTTGAGAAATACTTTAATGGGGACTTGAAAATAGTTTTTAACTTTAATATAAGCTGCGAGTCATTTATCTCAATTCAAACTCAGCAAATCCTCGTTCAATTCTCAAACTAATGTCTACTTCGTGCACAAATGATACTTCTATAACGCTTGAAAAACTTTCGTGGAAAAATTAGTGAATTAATTTGAAAACCAATGGGAAAATACAGGATTGTCTCTAAGAGGGGGTTTCGAAAACAATTAAAAATGCGCCATAAAAATGCGTTTTTCTTAAAAAATTAAGTTTAAGGAATTAAAAAAAGTGCTTTATGAGCGCTCTTTACAAGCAAAATTTATAAATTACACAAAACACAAGCACAAAAAAAGTATCATGATTAGTCGTAAATGCCAAGTCCAATTATCTTCACAAGTTTCAAAACTTTAAGCTTGCAACAGGAGAAAACTCAAGTGCTGGTCAAAAATATATTTAGTTTTTTAAAATTTGCCTTACTTTTGAGTCTTTAATTACATTAAGCAGCAACAGTTTTTAGGGAGCGTTTCCTAGCATGAAATTGAGTAGTTTTGAAAGCAATTATAAGAAATTTCATGCAAATTTTCTGATAGTAAAAAATAGTTTACATAAAACTCAAGAAGACAATAAAATTGTGAGATAACATCATTTGAGAAGATTTGATAATCACAAACTATAAGTTTCGGTAGATCTTTTTAGGATTTAGCACTCTACGGAACCCCGCGAAAACAAAATGAATTAAAGTGAATTTAATTGAAATGCCGGTTCTGAACTATTTTATCGCAAGTTTGCAAAAAATGTGAGCAATTAGTTTTTGCCGCATAATTTTGCAAATAAAAAATTCTCGCTTTGGCTAGAATCTTGATAGTTTTGTCTACTAAAAACATCAGCACGAAAAGTAGTCAACTGAAACTTAAATACCATAGCTGAATAAAATGAACTCAAAATAGTTGATAATCAAGATGAAAATTAGTGTTTCATTTGTATATAACATGTACATAACCTATGAAATCAGTTTAATAAAAAAAATGTTCTAAAATCTTATATAAACTGTCAATATTCTGTTGATTGAAGAGCCAGCACAGCAAAATGAATTTTCAAAAACACCGATTTAATAAATTGAAGTATAAAAAGCGATTTATAAAGTCGATTTGATAGTTAACAAAATATTCCTTCATCTGGCGTCTCAAAAAAATACCTAAACAATGACAGCACATTTTGCTAGCAAAAAAAATTCCATCGTAGTTTTGGCAATGCGGGATATTGATTATTGCAAATGTTTTTTTCCTGATAAATTTTTGGTTAAATCGAGTCACTAGTTAAAAACTAATAACAAAACTAAAAATTAAAACTATCCTTGAACTATTAATGAACGCAAGTAATAAAATATAAACTCTGATTTTTTTGAAAAAATTCAACTTTCGAATTTCAAAGAAAAAAAAAACAGATGCCCTTTGAGCTCTTTGAATTCCTAGAACAATTTATGATCGGCTCTTTTTTGATAATATTAATCCGTCTTGAGAAAATTGGATTAGCAGGTGAAGCTTTTTTCCGCTGAAAATCTTCAATTAAATCCCACTTTTGAAACTAGAAACAGTTCACGTTTTTTGCACCATTTCCGCCTTAGTAATTGGGTAGTGCTATTCACGTCACTTTCAGCAGATGAATTTGAATTGAACTCAAAAAGTGCATATATACCTAATTGCATTCCTAAAGTCATCAATTTTATGAATGCACACCTTTAGTTATTAGAGACTTCAAAAATTTTTCCTGACAAAAAATGTAAAAAAAATCAGTATAAGGACCTATATAAGCGTCCTCACTACGTTCATTACTCTTAAAAACATAATATCTCAATGAGTCTGTGGAATCTCTGAGTCCAATTGTGAAAAGATGACTACTTGCGACCAGTTTTTTTGAAAACTGGACTAATTTTTTCACTCAAAAACTTTTGTGTGTGATGCTGAAAGCGTAACGCAAATTGCTTTAGCTTAGCAAATTATCCTGCACCCGGAATTGCTTCAAAATGAATTGAAACAATCTAAAAAGTCATAAAATTTAACATTCATCCATGATATTCTGGCAGTTTGTGAACAAAAAAACAAACAGGCATAGTATTTAATTCATCTGAGTTTTTACCAGAACTTTTTAGGACAATTTCAAGGCCGCCGAAAAATACAAAAATCTACCTTGTACAAAAATCAGATATATTTTTAAATTTATGCTCAATTTAGGCTCATTTTACTTCGTAGTGCAGCAATGTTTTTGCAGAATTGTTTGGTTAATAGGTGTGGCCTCATAAAACAAATCAGTACTGTTCCAAAACTATTTTTGTAAAAACTCAGTCATCTAAAATAGTTTAAACAGTGCCACTTTTGTTCTTGCTAGACGAAAAACCAAAACATTTTATTTGCAGTGCTGTAGCAACATTGAATCATCTATGCGATAGCGCACATTTTTGTATTATCATTATGTCAAGATCAGTTTGCGAAAAAACTACCGCAATAGGAATACTCAATCTGCAGCTTTTTCCTAAGTTTATAAAATCTTGGTTACTTCTCTGCAATTTTACTGATTCATTAAATGGAAACTTTTAATTCGTTCATGATTCAGTACAAGAAATATTAGCTTGATTGTTCAAATCAATGACAAAGAGGGATCCGATTGGTCAAGGTTTTACTTATATTGTAATGCTGATGTTTTAAATACTGCTGACATAACCCTGGAGCGGGAGCTTTTTGTTTTTAGTTTTTATGAGTATCAATTCAAAAAAATTACGGTCCATTTTGCCAATTCGGTATGAGCATTAATTGCACAGAATGTATCTGGAGTCGCTGTCAAGTTTTAAAGTATTTGAAATTCAGTCGTCAAATAAAAGTACTTAGAAACGGATGAAACCACATACTGGCACACAAAAGACAATTTACTACTACCCGCATCCAAGTTTAGGCGTAAATAATCGATTATAACGGATTATTATGATGATATTTTGACAATTATAATCGATTATAATTACCAAAATAAGGTCCTTAAGAGATTTATAATTGATTATAAT